CCTCTTGGTCCTCTAGCCTTCCACTCTGACGTGACATTTTTTTTTCAGGAGGGGAAAGGATTTGAAGGAACGTATGATTTTATCTTTTTTTCTAATATTTTCATAGAAAATCAAAGATTACGATGGAAATCGATTCAGAATATCTACGGAGTTAATATTATATATGAACATTCGAGATATAAATTCTATCGAAATCGCGGAAACGCTTTGATTAAAGTTTTCATAATTATATGTCTTGGTGTTTATTCAATAGCTACAAGTAATTGATTAAAAATTACATTAGCTTCGTTACACCATTGACTCGGAAAATTGTATATAATGGAAATAAAAAGAACAAGCAAAAAATCCGCAAGCGTCAAAGTATCTTTCATTGAGGATAACGAGAATCTTATTCCAAAAGAAAAAAATACCGGTCAATCAGAAGTTTTCTTTTAAGCAAAACTTCGAGGAATCGAATTTGTAATGGCAGTTACGTTATATCTGTTCTGTTTTATCATTACTACATGGTGAAAAATCATAGTATCATTTACCACAATCATTTCTTGCGTCTGATTTCATTTAAAAAATGATTTTAGTTTTTTTTTTTATATAAGTTTGACATCTCTGGCACCAAGTTATTGTTTGTTACGAAAATTATATGTCAACAGTTTAGGATTATGAGAAACAATAAAGTTAGAAAAAGGAAAGATCGTTGTTTCGCTTTATAATGCAGGAATTATTTGGATGTGATAAAAATTAAGAAAATATTTGGGTGGTTTTTTTTTTTTTATATGGATTTTTACTTGGAAGGTCGTGAATACGGGGCGTTGCGGTAGCGCGAGCTTGAGCCCGATGTCGTTGTCGTCTTGTACGATTTCCATGCGCGGCTCGATGATTCCTCTGCGAATTTTATGGAGTTATTCATTTGCATTATTTTTATTAAATTAGCACCACCACGATATAGTATATATATATATATATTAATCGGATAATTTCCTAAGTATATACTACACGAAGCGAGAGCATCATATTATTTATAAAGTTTTAAGAAGAAAATTATTGCGAATCAGAATTGATAAATAATTTAGCTAATATCACGTTATTATGCAAAGCCATTCCATATTTATTTAGTATAGGATATTATAGGGAAATCTTTAAATTCGATGTGGAAAAAGATATTTCAATTTTAAATAGTTGGTAGAAATTATTTTCAATTAAGAATATTAATTTTTATTCGCGTATTATTTTATGTAGAAATATGAAATTTCTAGATTTTTTGTGAAAAAAATCGATCTTAATATTTCTATTAAATTATTTAAATTTTAATATAAATATAAAATTGTTATATATTATTCAGAATTACAAGAATTAGTTATTATAACTAGAAATCATATTATTAATGTTTTTTAGAATTCTGATAATATTTAAATTTTTGTTTAAAGCTTTTTATATTAACATAGCTTATTAAACCAATTTTATTAAATATTTCATGCTTTGACTTTTTTTATCAACTCTTTATATTTAATTCAAATTCAAATTTAATATTTATAGATAATAGTTCAGTAAGAATTTGTCTATATATAATTTAAATCTAAAATATTTTAACTTTAATCTTATTATGTTATTCTCTGTATATCACACATGCGTTTATGATACATGTTTATGATAATTTTTGTTTATTTATATGTTAAAATTTTATGTTAAAAAAAATGTGAAATGAGAATTATATTACCTGGATATTCTGATGTTTCGTAGTAATTGTGAGAAGAATGTGGCACAGTATCATCTTCGTATTCGTAAGTTGCGTACCTCGAGGAAGGATACATATCATCTCTAAATGATATATAAAAATACAATGTAAAATGAAAAGCTACGTTATTCTATGTTTTATAAATTAAAAAAAATTTTTTTAAAAATTAGAAATTAAAAAAAATGTTAATCGAAAAAAAAATCAATTACGAAAATAAATATGAAATAATTGAATATTAATACGTCTTAAATATAATTATAATGTTAAGTATAAAAATATAATATATAGATATGGAAAATCAAAATAAGTAATAGATAAGAATGGATTCAATAAATATATCAATAAATAATTCTTTTTGATAAAAATGTCGATTATACTTACCCTGACGTTGATGTATAATGTCGGTCTCCATATCGGCTACTACTGCTCGTTGATGTGTGATAGTCATAATCATGATGAGTTCCAACACGGTTACTTGGAGGCGGAGTAGCAGTTTCATAACTATTCACAATACAATGTTATAAATTCAAAACAATATTTTTTATATGATTAATTAAAAACTTACCCATAACTCTGATCCATGGCGACTCTTGCACGATCTAAAATAGAAAAAACTTTACTTTTTGCTGATACAGGACGTGTAATTGGTCCCCGGCTAGAAGGCGGTGGAAGTATTGCCGCTAAAATAAAAAAAAATAAGAACCTTCTTTTCTTTTTTAAAAGCCTAATAATTGGAAAAAATATTGCCAACCTCGCGAAGATCGTTGCATTGTTGGTCTTGCGGATGGTCTTAATATTCCACCAGCACCTGGTACACCTCTGACAGAAGGCCTTCTATCGTCATTACTCGTTGGATCATCTGCCATATTCATTTCCATTTCGCGCATTTGTTCTTGGCGTATATTGTCATTATTATCTGGGATCAAATATTTCCGAACTTCGGCTAACGCAAATGCAATACGAGCATAAGCTTCCGCCGGAGGTGCGAGTGCTGTTATTTCAACATGTAAATCATCCGAAAGATGAGCATATTTCGGATCCAGAGACATACGATATTCTTCTTCCTATATCATAGAATAAATATACAAAAAATTCTATGTATTTATGTGCATTATTATGCACATTACATATTTATCAATATAAATTAAAAGTAATATAATAAATATAAAATTAATTACTTTATTAAAAATAATTAAATAAGTAGAGGAACATAAAGTGGAGATATGAACAAAAAACCTAAATCAAATAAAAATTACAAATTCTTAACATAAAATTACTTTTTGACGATCTTTCATAGATCCTCTTCCTAATACTGCCATTTTACACATTGTTTCTTCTTGCAAACGTTTCATAGAATTACCTTTCGGTCCCAATAATTTTCCAACAAAATTAAACTGCAAATAGTTCAAAATATTTCAATGTATAAATTTATATTTATCTGTATATTCATCTAAATTATTTAATTTATAACAAAACACAACTACCTTTGGATGTTCCCGAACGGGCACCAATACTTTAACCGAAACTCGAATTGGTTTTTCACGATAAATATCCACATATTTCGGATCCCTTACTGGTTTGCCAATAGCTTGAGTTTTTTGAATTTCTACAGAATAAAATAATCATTTTTAAATTTTTTATATATTAATATGTGACATTAATTTAGTATTTATAATTATAATATTTTATAATATAAATTATACTTTTTATTTTATTATAACTAACAAATTAATTATAAAATAATATTTATTTATAAAAAATTAAATTACAAATTA